TTGGAGGGCCCGTTAGGACTATGTCCTTTCGGAGAGGATGACCGAACATTGCGATCCGATGACATGTAACGCGGTGTATTCCCATGTTAGGTGGTTGGAAACTGCCCGCCAGGCTTGGAATCCTGGTCAGGGGTCGTGCACGCTAAAAGTTCGATACCTGATTCCACAAAGTTGAGCATAGAACCAAGAGAGTGGTTGTGGACGAGACGGATATTAGGTCGGCTAGACGCCGTGCCCGGATATGTTCGTTCACGATACAGTGAAGTTCCTACCTCGTTCATTTGTAAAGGAAGTGAGTCATGGCGACTCTAAGAAAGTGAGTCAATGCACCTCTAAGAAAGAAAGAAGCATGTGAGTCCTTGTGACTCTAAGAAACCTTCACAGAAAAGTATTCTATTTACAAACGAGTGTATAAGTATACTTATTCTATTGCATCCTATTGCATTCGAGTATAGTATTGCACGAGATTGCATAAGGAGAATGTTGCACGAGATTGCATAATGAGAATGTTTGCACTAGATTGCATAATGAGAATGATTAACCGAGATTGTATATTGAGTATGATTGCCTTAGTTGCATATTGATGTCTTATATATCTAGTTTGCATGATGAGAACTCGAAAGCATGAGAATAATTTCTTATTGATTGATAGTACGCAATTGCTTGATAGATCGAGATCGTTATGATGAGTTTTGCTATGTTGAATATGTGTTAGAGTGCTTATGTTGATAAGTTATTTATCGTTGAAGCATGCCTGTTGATATTATAAGTTGCGAGCATATAGAAAGCTTGTAGTTTATCTTAAAGTTTATCTAATTGTTTGAGATTGCTTAATTTGAGATTGTGAACAAATGTTTTTCCAAAGTATATACTGTAGTACTTTACAGGGTGGAGTGTGGTTATACTTAACTTTGTACTAACGGGTGTTTTCTACTTGTCTACTTGTTGTTTTGCAAAACCCCTTTCAGGTGGGCCTAGCGTTTAAGAGTTGTTCGAGTTAGACTAGTGTAATTGATCTAGTAGTCTAAACTCTTGTTTTATTTTATGATGTTATGGATTATGATTGTAGACACCTTTTGTTTTTATGTTTGGTGATAGACACCGGGGTACTTTTCCCCAAGTTATTTTGATTTAGAAATTTTCGAATGTTAGTTTGACTTGATGATTTAGTTCTATTCTTAGCCTGTGCAATCACCGTGGAAAGGTGGTTGTGGCGGTGACATTCCCACTAGTTTGTTAATTAAGTTTGATTTTTCGCTGTTTAGTTTATCTTAATTTGGTTTTAGAACTTTAATTAAGTTTAAGAAAAGTGGGGTGTTACAATCATACCCTCCCGCCGAGTATATGAGTACGACCAAGACCCCCAAGGGGAAGATGGTAGTTAGAATATGGAATTCTGAGCACTTGCTGAAGTATTATCAATGATTGGTTTATTAAGATGTGGTATGTCCCCTCCGTTTCAATAAACTTAGTAAACATTGCGCCATGGATGACTTATTGTAACACCCACTTTTCTGACTCTTAATTACATTTCTAAACAGCCATTATCATAAACTAAGCAGCGGAAAACTAGAAGATAAATAGTGGGAGTGTCACCGCCACAACCACTACTCTTGGTGATTGCACAGGCTAAAGGGGTAAAACTATAAATACGATTAAGTCTGAGTACTAAAAATAAATACTGGGAAAGAAAGGGGGGAAAACGTCACCCCAACACAGTCTACATCAATCCTCAAACATAAAATCATAAGTCTAAATCCATAACATGATCATAAATAAAACTAGAGTTTAGAAATCTCAAACTAAGAGACTAATCTAACTCGATCTCTTCTCACTGTTGGGCCCATCTGAAAGGGGTTTTGCAAGCAACACATAGACAACAGGAAAAACACATGTTAGCACGAAGCTAAGTATAACCACACTCAACCCTGTAAAGTATTCTAGCATATACTTTGAAAACATTTGATATCTTGATAGCAATAAGCTAATCTCAAGTCAACTTTAGATTTACCACAATTATTCTAGATGCTTGGACCCTATAATATCAGCTGGCATGTTTATATATGTATAAGACTGATCATGTAGATTCATCAACATATAGACTTCTCAAATAGCCTCAAGCAATTCATGCTTACAGATAGGATCATGCTAAAAGACTATATAACAGGTGTTCACATGCTTCCACACTCTTATCACATAACTTATTAAGTAAAACTTCTACTACATCACAATAATCATGCTCAAAGGAATACCTTAAGTTAAGCTTCTCATTTCAACAATTCTCTTACGATGCTCCATTCTCATACAATCATGTATAACATTTTGATCGTGCTTCTTATGCAATCTAGTGCAACAATATAATCATACTCTTATGCAATCTCGTGCAACAATATAATCATACTCTTATGCAATCTCGTGCAACAATATAATCATACTCTTATGCAATCTAGTGCAATAATATAATCATACTCTTATGCAATCTAGTGTAACAATATACTCATTCTCTTATGCAATTTAGTACAACAATGTACTCATTCTCTTATGCAATCTAGTGCAATAATATAATCATACTCTTATGCAATCTAGTGCAACAATATACTCATACTCTTATGCAATCTAGTGCAACAGTATACTCATGCTCTTATGCAATCTCGTGCAACAATATAATCATACTCATATGCAATCTAGTGCAACAATATACTCATACTCTTATGCAATCTCGTGCAACAATATAATCATACTCGTATGCAATCTAGTGCAACAATATACTCATGCTCTTATGCAATAATATAATCATACACTCATATATAAATTAGAGTACTTTCTGTGGAGGTTTCTTTGTTACTTTCTCGGGTCTCTCTTGACTCTCTTTCTTTCTATCGAGTCTTTATTGACTCTCATACTTGAGTCTCTGTTGACTCTCTTTCTTGAGTCTCTCTTGATTCTCTTTCTTTCTCTTATACTCGTAGACGGCTTAGGGTTTCACAGAAGTGTGACTTACCCCATCGGGAACAGCATAATTCCGACCCAATATCTCCTACCGTCTACGGAACCAATCTCGTGGTTTAAACTCTTCGGAATCAGGTATCGAACTATTAGTGTGCACACCGCCTAACCAAGATTCCAAGCCTGGCGGGAAGTTTCCAACCTCGTAACGTGGGAATACGCCGCGTTACATATACTGGGACCGTAATGTCCATAACTATCTCCCGAGAGGAACATAGTCCAAACGGTATCCTCCAAAACCTCACCGATATAGATAATACATAAATATATCTCTCATGCATCAATCTCATGCATGCAACAATTCTATTACTTCTCAATGCATCAAAGAATGATATACCACATGCTTATGGTTTTTGAAGGTATTCTTGGACTCATGTTGGCCCTTGATACATTTTTGAAATATGACTCATGTGAAATGTCAAAATGCTCTATAACATGCTTCTAAATCATGTATAAACTAACATGAAGTATTCAAGGATATATCATCATGCTCGGTTTGCAAAATAGCAATTTCTATACATTTCACTCAACAAGTATGCTTCTATTCTCATTGATCAAATAATATAATTTAATCATGCTTTCATAATAAATCATATTCTCAAAGGATCATGCTTCTTTACTCACTAAAAACATTATTTGATCACATAATCAACAATTTCTCAAACACAGAGAATTTAGCAAAATATGCACTATGTAACAATTCTTCACAAAATCCTTCTTAACATACTTGTTTTTAATCCAAATTCCACGAAATCAAAGCCAAAACGTGCGTCGAGACAAACCCGAAGAGCCGATCCACAAGGGCTCATAACACTCGGTCCGAAACGACACGTAGCTGAGCCACAAGGGTCCGGCCACTGCACAAAATTCTTCACCGACCATACTCAGAGACCTGGGGCGGGACTCTTCATAGTCTGCCCCTGGAGTCCCGTTGATGTGCCGGGACTAGGCAACGGCCTTCCTCTAGGGCCGTGCCCTAATCCCGTGCCTCCACGGCTCTAGCCGGCGGCCCTTCTGATGGGCCGCGGCTAGGGCCGTCACTTTGATCTGGTGCACACTGTGTTGTGCACCAGATGTGATTTTACCTGCAAAAACTCAACCAAACAATTCCAAAACAATCTCAACAACTCATAAATACATATTAGATCACTTCTAAGCATAAACACATCAAAAGCTCATAGTTTCTACTTATTTCTACTCAAAACTAGGCTTCACAGAGCCAAATCTAAAGAGGAATCCATGGGGTTATACCTCTTGTAGTCTAGTCTTCTTGCTTAGATCTCTTCTTCCTCTTGGCCTAGCTTGAGCCTCCTTCACCACCTACACTTCCCAACACACCTTCTATCCTTAGCCTAGAACCTCAAAGAGTAAAGAAAACTAGAAGAGAAAATAGGTTAAAATGAAGGACGAACAAGCTTAATAGGTTGTTGTCTTTCTTCTTGTTGTTGGCAGCCAAGAAATGAGGAAGAGGCAAAGAATGAGATCATGGAAATGAGATGGAATGAAGGGGTTTATATAGGGTTCAAAACCCTTGGATGATTCACAATGATTGGTTGAGGGCAAATTGGGTAATTTCCCAAGCTAAAAGATGATTCTATAAGGGATTTTGGATGTCTTGTGGTCCACCATGTAACATGAACCATAGGCTAGAAATGTTATCTTTTATTACTTTGGGGTTGAAAGTGAATTTTCCCAAAAGCTATATGGATGAACACTTGTTCAAAATTCCCTTTTGAATTCTCTTGGTCTCACTCGGATAAAATTCTCGATTTGAATCTTGGTACGCGAAGTACACGAAAACTTTAAAATTTTCGAATGAAATTCATTTCTTCGGTGTCGAATTAATTTTAAAATTGGAAAAAATTATTTTATTCAAACATCGATTGATCGCAAAAATTTTTAATGGGGTGAAAAAACTACTTTGGGACTTCTTAATACTAGATTTATAAAATGAAATTTCGGGTTGTTGCACTTATTTTCACTTCTTTCAGGGGGGGTACTTACTCGACCCCTTCAATCGTACCCTAAGGAGGCACGAGGTCCGACCTTGCGTACCAATCCCGACGAAAGAGCCTAACGGCCCGGTGTTAAAGGAATCGAGTCGAATGGCTATCGTTCCCTAAGGGGGCACGAGGTCTGACCTTGCGTACTAACCCCAACGGAAGAGCCTAACGGCCCGGTGTCAAAGGACTCAGGTGGAAAGGCTATCGTACCCTAAGGGGGCATGAGGTCCGACCTTGCGTACGGCGTACCGACCCTGACGGAAGAGCCTAACGTCCAGTGTCAAAGGGCTCGGGTCGAAGGGCTATCGTACCCTAAGGGGGCAAGAGGTCCAACCTCATGCGGCACCCGACGGAAGAGTTTTTAGACCGAGAGTACCCTTGGCTAAATAACTACACACTACGTAAAAAAAGAAAAAAAAAAAAAAACAAGTTACAAACTAGTTCATGGCATGAAGACCGACCTCCAAGTTGAACCCAAGCCCTGAGCTTGAGCCAAAAGGCAAAGCATTCACGAGTATGGCCGAGGCCTAGGTAGGCTGAGGGCTCGGCCCAACCAAAAGGACTCGACCCGTCCCATGTGTACGAGGGGTCGAGGCCCATGAAGCTCACCACCATGCAGGCAAAACGAAGAAGCTAAGTGAAAGTGAGAATTCAGACACGTATACGAAGGGAAGGCTCGGCCCAACCAAAAGGGCTCGACCCGTCCCATGTGTACGGGGGGTCGAGGCCCATGGAGCTCACTACCATGCAGGCAAAACAAAGTAACTAAGTGAAAGTGAGAATTCAGACACGTATACGAAGGGATGGTGAAAGAAAAAAATACTTCATTAAATATCGATATAAGTCTTGGTACATGACACAAAGAAAGGGGGACAAACAAGCTACAATCAAGTCGCTACGATCAAGTCTAATCCTTGAGGTAGAGGTTGGCCATGCTGGGGTGACTGTGTGGGGCTCGGACCCATCGGAGTGCGACTCGTGTTTACTCTCCTTCATTGATGAATATTCGCAACGAAGTGAGTGGAGGACTCATGATGGATATATTATAATTGGAGCAAACCAACCCGGGAAAGCGGAGCGAGAAAGTGTGGAGTGGACCCGGGGCTCCGAGGTTGAGCCCTGTGCTCGGACCAAGGCACCTCGACCTAGGAGAGCTCGGTCAAGAGGCCTCGGCCCAAGAGAGCTCGGCCAAATAGAGGTCGGCTAGGAGAGCTCCGTGCTCGACCCAATGCAAGCTCGACCAAGGTGAGGTCGGCCATAATGAGCTCAGCCTAAGAGAGGTTGGCCAAAGTGAGCTCGGCCAGAGAGAGAGGTCGGCCCATTCAAGCGGAAGACCTGCGAGGCTCGGACCCGGGTGCGGTCAATGCAGTGATGCAATCGACCTGCCGTTTTAGGGGGGCGGTTATGGAATTTTTCATGTATAAAGAGCATAATTCTTGTCCCTTAGGACAGATTTCACGTCTTGGTATTACCTCAACCCTGTATCCCTGTATAAAGAGCTTCATTCTTATCTTACCTCAACCCGTATGACAGATTCCATATAATAGAGGATAAAACAAGAAAATTATAAAAAAAAATATTAAAATCAAAATAATATAAATCATTCATTTCAATAATTATATAACATTTTTTTTTTAAATTTTATTGGCTCTTATTATATTTGTTATTGAGTTAATACCCAAAATCGTCCTCGACTATAGTGGTTTTTCTTAATTTCGTCCTAAACGACTTTGGTGACCTAATATCGTCCAGACTTTTTTGTTTCACTCAATTTAGTCCCAGACTTTTGTGTTTTTGCTCAATTTAGTCCCTCATTTGTTATTCTGTCCATTTGGTGTTAAATAAATAGACAATTCAGTAATTTTAATATTGACATCTCTTTACTCATAGACATGTGAACTGCGAAATCCTTTTTTTTTTTTTTTACGAATTACTCTCAGAATTACTCCTAAAACTGCGAATATAAAATTTGATTTGTAGGTCCGGGTGTAATTCTGGGTGTAAGTCATACAAGAAAGGGGAATTTCGCACTTCACAAGTTGAAAGTAAAGAAAGATCAATATTGACATTACTGAATTGTCCCTTAATTTAACACCAATTTGACGGAATAACAAATGGAGGACTAAATTGAGCGAAACACAAAAGTCTGGGACGATATTAGGTCACCAAAACGAAATTGAAAAAAACCACTATAGTCGAGTACGATTTTGAGTATTAACTCATTTGTTATTTGTAGATGTTTATTCGTAGATAGACGCAGATAAATAAATAAAAATGAACATTGGTGAGTTCGCATCCCCAAGACCCCGACGTCCCTGATACAATTGGATCTCTTTAACCCAAAAAGGAGTTGGCTAGTGGTGACCGGTGAAACCATAACACGAGAAGACAGTTCTGAATCTATTAACGGAGAAAAAAAAAAAAAAAAGAAGAAGAAAGATTTAAGAAAAATTATAAAAATGACAAGAGAGAGCAACGTAGAAGAACTGGTAAGTGGTTGGTGCTGAAATTCAGTTTCCTGAAAATGGGTATTTCCGAAATTAATTATTATTTCTTTTCAGATTTTTTTTTCTGCACTAGTTTCAAGTTTTTCATAACTATATTTTTACTATTTGTGTGTGTGTGTGTTTTTTTTTTTTTTTTTTTTTTATTGTTCCAGAAGCAGGAAAAGAACAAAATATTGAATGAAATAAATGGACTGCAAGAAAAAATTGATCCAACGGCTCAGAGATTGCTGTCACTCTTGGAAACCCTCAAGGTTTGTGTATGCTACTTTGGGTTTCTGACAATTTATTGACTTGTTTAAGAATTCAGCATTTCAAATCATGTATTAGTATATTTAATAATAATAAAAAAATATTATGTGGAGTGATTAAAATTTTGAAACTTGTATTTTTCTATTGATTAATGGATATTTTTTTGTGATCTTATTTTATGTGTAATTCTCAAAAAATTGTTAATTTTCTTGAATGTAAACTTGAACTGATATCTGAAACACTAATATGATAGTTCATAGCTTGGTTGATTTTTGGGATGCTTCATTTTGAAATCATAACTACTTTAGGTCATAGAAGTAATTGCAATTAAAATCATATTGACTTGTTTTTCTTGAGTAGAAGATGACTTGAAAAGAATCTGAGCTTTGCACAGAATCTCAGCTTCTTAGTCCTACAGATAGCAAATTCTTCTGGGAATTTTCTTTATCTGTATCTTCCTGGAGAGCCATTGAAATGGATGGAGAGCAAAATTTGATTGCTGGTAGGGCCTCTTATGCATGTGGGGACTGACTAACTTTTATTCATATTTTAAAAGTTCTTTTCTTGATTGCTGGTAGAGCAAAATTCTTCTGGGAATTTTCTTTTCTTGTTTTTCTCAATCTTTTCTTGTAACAACCCTCCTTCTGCTATGGCTACTATGTAACAAATGAGTTGGTTATTTTTCAGGCTCTTGAGAAGCAACATTCTGAATTGCATTGCACACTACGTAATTCTAAATTGCAATCTAAGATAAATGAGCTGGAGGAAGTAGAACAAAATACGAAAGAGGGAAAGCTTTCTAATAGTTTCGATCATTCTTTATCCGATTCCAATGAGAGGCTGGATTCTGTAAAGAAGGTAAGGAATTTAATCAGAATTTGGTTTTAGTTCATTTACAAGGCAGAATGCCTCATACATTCTTTCCAATTTGCCAGAGGGTCACAACTTACAAATTCTCATTTCTTTACATCCCAGTAGAAAGAACAATAAAGTATATCTCCGATATTCAAATGGGAAAACATTTTGTCTCTTTAAAATATTATATAGTAGAGTAATATGGTTGGTGTTACTTTTTTGCAGGAGCTTGCTTCTAAGTTAAGGGCTATTATGTCACTAAAACGGAGTCTTGATAGTGTACCTTCACAAGCTGAACTCATTCAGTATGTTTTGCTTATTTTGCATTCCTTCTTGCTTATAAATATTTTCAGGCTCTTTCTATTGTACGCAATTGCTTTTCACTTGTTCAGTGAAACTCATATAACAGTCAATTCAATGAGAAGTTTCTCATTGGTTTTGGAATCTTCAGCTTTTGTTATGTTACCTACTTTCGATAAGTTTCGGTTTAAATTGAATATGCCTAAGGATTAGTACTGAACATGGGTATGTTGGGGTAATATAAAGAGGTGGTAATATAGGGCTTTGAATTTTTAAAAAGGTTAGATATCCCATTCAAAAAAGGTTACTTTGTGACTTCACAATCGCTCATTCTGTATCAATCTTTCAATTAACATTGAAGTTCCTTTATTATTTCGTTCTTGTAGAAATGAAGTTATCAAGTAACTAAGGATAAGGGGCTAGGTCATCCAATGTGGTGGCTAACAAAAGTTCAAATCTCCATTCGGAGGGACCCCCTCCAATAAGAGCCTGACATTACCCCAAGGGATTAGTAGTCCCCACATAACCTTTTAATGTACCAAAATATCCAAAATATCAAGTGACTAAGGATCCATTGTGTTATCGGTTTCTCAAGACAAGAAATGTTATGACATTAGGATTTGTATATTCAGTTTTTTTAATGAGTTCTTTTGACAGGTATGAACTCCGCCTCTCTGAACTTAATACCCATATTCAGGTAAACTAGTACCTAGGATGATTAACACTTAACAGTCACTTGTTGGTTCCTCATTAATGAACCTCTTTCCATCTCTGTCGCTATATGTAGGGAAAGCATTGTCAAACTCAGAAATACTATGCTACTTTTAACACATTGTTGGAAATCAAAGAATTGATGCTAAAGGAAACATCTTTACTAAACTCCATTAGTTCACAGGTATTTCTTGAAAAGTATATGGCTATTATTACTTTAGTTTATGCTATTATTATGGACCGGAGCTCTGAACGTCTTATATCTAGATCTTAGATCAAATATATTGACATATCGTTTCACTATGACTTGGCAGTTGATGGTATCTGGTTTTGTAATCTTATTGTAGCATTCTCTCCTTTGTCTATCCCTACACTATATCATATCCTTTCTTTGGATTATGCACCTTCTCTCTCTCTCTCTCTCTCTCTCACACACACACACACACACACACAACACAAACATATATAATGAGTTAATATCCAATTTAGTCCTCAACTATAGTGGTTTGCTCGATTTAGTCCTAAACGATTTTTTGTGCTTAATTAGGTCCTCAAGTTTGATGGGTTTGCTCAATTGAGTCATCGGCTATTAGAATCAAGGACTAAATCGAGAAAAACCACTATAGTCGAGAACTAAATTGGGTAAAACCACTATAGTCGAAGACTAACTTGAGTAAAACTACTATAGTCAAGGACTAAATTGGGTATTAATAGAGGTGAAATTACCAAGCTATCTTAACAGATGACTCAATTGGGTAAAACCATCAAAGTCGAGGACCTAATTGAGCACAAAAAGGCGTTTAGTACTAAATCGGAAAAAACCACTATAGTCGAAGACTAAACTGTGTATTAACTCCATATCCATATATAATTATCTGGTTTAAATACTGATTTTTTCTTTCTATAATTTTGTCTCCTTTTTCATGTCTATTATATAGTTCCAAAATGCTATTACTAGCCCTGCAGGTCGGGAGAAACTTATTTCTTCCATGGAAGGAATTTTGCAGGGAACTCAACAGGTATTTCTCTATTATTCATTTTTTTTTCTTAGTATAAAAATTGTGACTTGTGAGATTTATTTATAATTCTAATTTTGTTTATAATTTCTGACATAATTTCTTTGCTATTTCTCTGATATCAATGCTGAAATTTATAATGTACACTAATTTTTTATTCATATCAAAATTTGAAATTTATTTCTAGTTGATTAATTTAGTACTTATATTTATAATGTATGTAAATTTGCAAGATTTATAGTACGTTTATACTCAAAACTAAAATGAGATCTTAGCAGACTATTATACTTTTTCCTACAAATTAAACTCGTTGGCTAACTCTTCAATTTCTTCACTTCTCTACATTTAAGATAAGGTTTCTCACTTCTCTTTTCTCATATATTTTTTTTAAATATGAAAAAAAAAAGTCAATATAAATTGTTTGACCTCTCAAGTTTTAGTTATCACCTTATGTTTAAGAAATTATCCCATTGGTGTTTCTTCATTCATCATTCAATGTGACAGAAACTGGAAAAAGTACAACTTGCACTGGAATCAGAGATGGAAGTTCGTGAAATTCGCAAAGCCAAGTTTGTTTCAACTATTTCTGAACAAAGAAAGTGCAATGCCCTTCTAAAAACTCTCCAGGTATGGACAATATCAGGAATGATCTGAAGGAAGGCTACAGTATATATAATCACTTATTTGAAAATATGCATAGTTCTGTAAACACCTCTCTCAACTTATTTGAAAATACACATAGCTCTTTAAACATCTCTATCAGAATTTATTTTAATAGTTAACATGTTTTCAAGTATAGTGTTATGTGCTCATGTCACGGGCAAGAAAACACAAAAGAAAAGAATGAAAACGGAAAAGAAAACGTTGGGTTTGCTGGAGACACAAAACTCCCTTTTATAAGGTTGAGATTAAAAGGATTCCTAAAGTAAGAATGATTAATTATTTGGTAGTTTCCAAATAACAAAGATTAACTGATAAGCTAAATAACTACTCCGTATTTAGTAGTTTCTTAATATCTAAACTATGTAATGTAATTTTAATAAAATAAGACTTCTTTCACTCAAAAAAAAAAAAAAAAAAAGACTTCTTTAATCATAACGACTTTTTAAATAACCATTGCCCCAAAATGTATCATTACACCCCCTCCGGGAGGCAGGCTTGAAGGCTAGGAACCTCCTGCATTCATGTAGCGAACTTCCCACGATCAAATGGCATCGACACAAGAATTGTGAATGGTAAATCCACAATTGGCATCGTAAGGATCAATTGATGAGCCAACAACGGTGAGAAAAAAGGACTTCAATCTTGACATCTTTTGGGTGAGTTAGGTGGAACCACAACGTTGGAGGATGAGAGAGATCTAAGAGATAAAAGACGGACCAAATAATTAATTATTTAGCTTATTACTTAATTTTGTTATTTAGAAACTACCAAATAATTAATCATTCTTAGTTTAAGAATCCTTGTAACCAGCTCTATAGAAGGGAGTGTTATTTGGAATAATAGACAAGCAGAAATTTTATCCCAAAGAATGGACAAAGGGGGTTTTGGGTCTCAAGTAAACCCAACGTTATCTGTTCCTCTTTTCGTTCTTTTGTTTTGTTTGTTCTTGCCCATGATGTGAGCACATTACATATAGGTTCTTTTTCTCACCACATTCATGAGTTTTTGTTATGATATCCTCAAATGATGATATTCTGCATAACAGAATCTGAAGTATGTAAGCAGATAGTTCATGCTGGCATAGTTTCAGATTTTATGACATTTTTTTCTTGCAATTACTTCCCATATGGTTGTCTTTGTGTTCTATAAAGTTGCAGGACACAAAGTTTATTCAAGTACTGATTTTAGGACAAGTTTCATTTGGTGTTGAATTGTTCTAATCATAATAATAAATTAATAACAGTTCGTTTTCACTCCCATTTTAGTACAATGGGAGGGCAGTTTTCTTTCCTTTTTCTGGCTTTATCTCAAATCATTATACCAATGACATCAGTTTGAATTCTAGATCAATTCATGCATTGGTAGTTGGTGCAGTTAATGATTCATTTGTATGCCATGATGGTTCAAATAGTCCACCTCTAAAGGGAAACCAATGTTCGGTGTTTAGTAGATTGGGGGGTGACAAGGGAAACCCGCAGCCACTACTCGAGGTGTGCACTAGGTAAACCCCGCCTTGTGACCTAGCCAGCAAAAGACCACATGGAGGTAAACTAGCAACCAGCCTAGGTTGCCCATAGCTAACCGCCTCAAATCAAGAAGGCTGGGCTTCGAACTCGTGTCCTTGTGATTACAAGTTTATATTCTTAGCCATCTTGGCTGGGATTACCCCCTTTTGTTCCATTTTCCATCTAGGCCTAATCTAAGGGCCTGATTCGATCAGGATAGGCTATTCTAAGTTTATTATGTTGGAATAGCTTTTTGGTTTAGTTATGGAGCCACAGGTCTTCCATGAGATCATCATCTCTGGTTAAAAATCCAAATAGAGTAGCACGATAAGATCTGCCACTAAGGCTGTTGGTTAGATTTATTCGGTAAATGCATGCATTATTAAAGTCTCAGATTTTGGAAACTGCTAATATGGAGTAGACAGAGCAGTAAACTTTGTATATACTTTATCATCATCAAAACACCCCCTGTATGAAGGGGGCAGGGATGCTGTCTGACCCCAAAGACCTCCGGTGAGGCCATTGGCTGGGTTCATTAAGATCCAACTCTAGGAATTTGGAGACTGTTAATTTGTAGAGTAGTAGCTAAGGTGGTAAATTTTGCATTTACTTCATTCCGTGTTGTTGAAAACCAAAGGGTTATGTCTGTTTATAAATAGGTGTTTACAACAGTTGTGTATGTATGTGTATGTATATATATATATATATATATATATATATATATATATATATATATATATATATATATATATATATATGTACTATGTTTCTTCATTAGAAATATAGAATTATACTAATATATTGTAATCTTTCAGTCTTATATACATTTTTTCATTCCTTGATTCTTCATCTTTGCTTCCTCCTAACTGGCGGGTGGTTGTTATTCTCCACCCGCCAGGCCTTTAAATCTTTCAAATTCAACACGTGTCACTGTTGCCACAATTGTCCAACATCCTATAATCAATCCCGCTACTGCTTTTCTAACCGTTTTAATCAATTTCCAGGTGGAACGTGCAAAGAACGAGAGCCTTTGCCAGCAGACATCAGAAAGCGCCCCCAGTGGCGTGCAAGAGAAGTTATGATTTTCGTCACTTCAGATGAAAGTATTGTTGCAGCAGCGTAAAAGGTCCGGTTTAAAACCGGGGAGAAGTGAAACAGTAGGTTGAGTATGCTATGCTACTGTGATGATAACCAAAGGGGGCAGCCTGAGGCTGGTCTGCAAATGCACAGAATGAATGTATGAATTTGGGCTATCAAGGTATGTTGATATGTGTTGTGAGCAGCATGAATAATGTATGTTACACTAATAAACATACAAGAATAATAAACCAATGTGTTGTTTGTGTATGAAGAGATCTCTTTAACACATGTCTTGAAAGGGGGAGGTTTGATGGGCTCCACATTGACAAATTAGCACCATAACAAAATGTACATTTTTATATACTCAAAGTACATTATTTGCATACTGAATGTACATAATACAAATAATGTATTTTTAGTACTCAAAAATGTACTTTTTTTAATACAATGTACATTTTTAATATACTAAAAATACATTATTTGTGTATTGAATGTACATTATTTGATAGTATTGTCTAAACAGCTGTGTGGACTATGCTCCACACAATAATAATTGTTCCACATTGAGAGTACGTTTGGTTCATGGGGTTAGACACAAGAAACAAGAATGAAAGTCATACACATTGTTTAGTTGACAATTTTTTTAAAACAGGATTTTATTACTCCTATAATTACTAAACTCATTACCTAATTTAAATCAGGTATCATTCTATTAATTTAGTCTTATCCCCCATCATTTCATCACCTCCTCACTAAATCAACTTACTTACTACATTGGCTACTTACTTCATCGCCACTCTTAAGATCAATTGGCTTGATTTTGTTTTTGTGTTTTTAAAACGTTTATTCTTATTATAGGACCATACATAGCCAAACATCAATGTTAGTAGTCTTTCTAATTCCACCTTATTACCAAACATTCAAAATACATTTATCAAAATTCATTCCAATTATCAAGTATTTAATTTTATTCTGATTTTGATTCTCATGTTCGAACCAAACATGCTCTGGATCTTCTTGTATCACAATTTTTAAAGAATTGAAAATGTCTTTTAAATGACGTTGTCTGTGTTTGGTAACATAATTAACTTATAAGTCAATTTTAACTTATTTGACCACTATTAGTTACTCCGTATTTGACCGATTAAACAACTAATATAAGAGCAACTCCAAATGTGTGGCATATCTGCAAATTTCAGCACCATCTCGCCATTTTGCCAACTTTTTTATCTCTAAGGTGAAGCTCCAAAACGGTGTGGCATATCTGCAAATTTCAGCGCCATCTCGCCATTTTGCCAACTTTTTTTATCTCTAAGGTGAAGCTCCAAAACGGCATAACGCCATTCTTTTTTGTGTTAATGAACTGTACCGTGCCATATATGGCGCGACACTGTTCATCCACGGCAAAGTGGGGAAGGAGAGAAATATGTCCATTTTGCCCTTGCTTCTTTTTTTTTATAATTATAAATGTATCTTTTATTTGTTTTATATGTAATTTCTTATTTTATTAAATGCTTATATTTAAAATTTGTATTATTAAATATAAATTATACCATTTTAAATGTCTCATCGAGACAATTAAAACAAGACTAATATTGAATATATATTAATTAAATTTTCAAATTCATCAAACATAACTAAATGTATTAGATGTTTTATGATATATTATTATGGTGGAATAAACTAAATTTTTAAAAATATTGTTAAATTTAATTTCATAAATAATTAATGTTATGAAAAAAATTATTATTAATAAAAATTATTATTTACATTACAAGTTATATTTTATATTAAACAAATTAAGTTGGAACTAAATTATATTAAATTACTTAAATTCGAACTAATAATTGAGAAATTAAATTATTTTAGTGTAAAAATTTAGTGTTTTGGTGTTTTGGTTGTAAATGGGTTGGAGAATGGAGATGAATAAAATTTGGTATGAGAATATGCTAAGAATATTCCTTTTGATGTGACATTTAGTGGAGAAATTTGGTGTTTTCGTGTTGAGTGGGTTGAAGATGCTCTAATGATTAATTAGTTTTTTGTAATTGCTTATTGTTCCAAACGCTAAAATGCAAAAAACTGTTTAAAGTAGTTTTTTCGATCAGCTTTTAAAAAAAGTCATTTTACATATAATCAACTATCAACTAACAATCAATTTACCTAACATTTTTCTACAATCAGTTAATGTTTACTCACTAACCTAATCAATTAATAATTATCACTTAACAGTTATTTATCAAATAGTTCCGTTATCTTTAAAGGAATCTCAAAGAAATCCCTTATTACCCGTATTACAAAAATTAAATGCTTATGCCTTTGAAAGAATCCCTCGTCACTTGTCTTTAATTATTTTTAAAAGGAGTATTTTAGAATTTGATGACATAATCGAAAAGACTTGAAAATATCATTGAATAATTTAGGCAAATATGCAGAATCGGCAAATTATGCTGTGCATCCGTATGCACCATGCATGGTGCATACGGATGCAAAAACGACGTTGTTTTAATAAAACGCGCGTCTTCCCTTAAAAAAAAAAAAAAAAATTCAGGTTCGATTCCCAGCAACAACATATGAACTAAAATTCCATAATCGATGAACTATAATTCCATAATCTAATTTATGAACTAAAAATTTCAGAATGAATGAACTAAAATTCCATAATCTATAAACTAAAATTTCAGAATCGATGAACTACAATTCCATAATCGATGAACTATAATTCCATAATCAATGAACTATAATTCCATAATCTATGAACTAAAATTCCAGAATGAATGAACAATATAATGTTGTTGCTGAGAATCGAATCTGAATTTTTTTTAAAGGAGAGACACGCGTTTTTTAATAAAACGACATCGTTTTGACATCCGTATGCACCATGCATGGTGCATACGGATGCACAGCATAACTATCCTGCAGAATCGGTCCTGGCCTAAAATTAAAGGGAAACAGAGACCCATGGGTCAGTCTATTAATAGTTGTATTTTTTTTTTTTTTAAACCAAAACAAACAAGTAACATTCTAACATTTTGAACAAATCCTACTAATTGATTATTGTAATAGCTAAACACAAGAAATATAAATCCAATTGCAATATTTTTATAATTGTGAATTTGCAACAATTTTTAACCAACTTGAACTTATGCTCCACTGCTCTTTTTTTATTAACAGTTTTTAACATATCATTTAACTTCTCGCTTTGCATGAATTTAAGTAGTACTTTACAATCTCTTTAGAAAGTAAGCAAGATCATATAAAAGACAACAAAATAATATTTTTATATGAAAAAATGAAGAGTAATCCATCCCAAGGGACCATCAGAGATTTTGAAATAAAACTTAGAATAAAATAAAGAATTAAATTTCGAAGAGAATGAAGTTCCCTTTTATGCATAGAGTGATAGAGATAGATAATAGACAACCAAATAATATTTTTATATGAAAAAAAAGGTAGAGTAGTCCATCCCAAGCAAGAATGACGTTGTATAGGACCAGAGTCTGCATTGCACTGTGGACCCTGGTCCACGGTATAACGATTGGGAATGACAATAGTTGGTTTTTTTTTTTTTTTTTTTTTTTTTTTGGGAATAAGAAGATTTTAAAACATCGTTAGTGCGTATAACTTTATAATCTTCTTAATAAAATCTTCTTATTTTAAAATCTGTATATATAAAGTTATACACACTAACGCACGCAAATGATGTTTTAAAATCTTTTTATTTCAATATAAAAAAAAAAACCCCGACTATTGTTTTAAACTTATACGCACTAACGCACGAAAATGTGGTTACTCACCGTTTTTCCCGTTCGAAGACCATATTTTTTTTTTCTTCGTTTGTTCTCCTTCCGTCGACAATAATGTTTCTCCTTCTTCCTATTAGAAGAGGGGCAATATATGTCATGTTTTGAAAATTGAGGGGCAACATTTACATCACTAATAATTTAGGGATGACATTGATAATTGGCATATTTATGAGGGGCATAAATTACAATTTTCTCTTGTTATTATCTTAAAATGAATAATGCATACCGTTTGGGTCAAAACATAAATTATTATTTATGTTCCCTCCAAAACAAAATTAAATCATGAATATTGCTGTATTCCCCTACAACAATTATTCTCTAATTGTCATTCCTTAACATACCTTTATATTGAGATCTTTTTTATATATTGAGTTCATTTTATATTTAATTATTACATAAACTCTTATTAACTCGTGGTGAAATCTACCAATCCACACGTAGTGAATTAAATTAAAGAGTTTTCTCTTCTTCTTCTTTTTATTTATTTATTTATTTATTTATTTTATTTTTTTTAATGAAGATTTTTCTCCTTTTAACACTTAATAGATAATATCATTTTAAGAAGAGAAAATTAGAAAGTGATTTCATTTGGAAAATAAAATAACATTTTTCTTTAAATAATAAAACCCCTATCTACCAAGTTTAATGTTTTTCCCATTTGATCTCTTTTCATATTATATTAAAAATGATAAAAGGATGAATTTAGTAAATAGTTGTTAGATAATTGAGTTAGTGGATTTGACTAATTGATAGTATTAGCTAATTGTAAAAAGATGTTTGGTAAATTTGTTGTTAACTAATAGCTAATTACATGCAAAATGACTTTCTAAAAAAGCTGATCCAAAAAGCTACTTAAAGTAGCTTTTTTGAATTTTAACATTTTGGAACAATAAACCGTTACAAAAAACTAATTAATCAAACAATTATATTGACTATTTAACCAAGTCAAACAACTAATAGTGGTCAAATAAGTCAAAATTGGCTAATAAACTAACTATATTACCAAACATGGCCAAAATAAAATGAAAAAAGAAGCTAGTAAAGGTGTTGAGAACTTCATCATCAAAGCCTATAAATATAAATACAAGTTGATTGTTTTGAACATAGGCAGATGAGCATTCAAGTTGAGGGTACCAATAACAAAAATTAAAACAATACAGAAAGGTTACATTGAGGGAGGGCTAAATGGACCTGTTCATGAGTTTCTACTTTCTATTAGCAGTGAACTAAAAAATGTTAAGCTAAAGGAAAAGAAGAAAAGCAAAAGGATCAATGGCTTCTCGACATTCTTTAGTACTAGATCGATCATACATCGCGTTTTTCTTCATTCATAGTTTCTGGTGTTTGAACTGCAGCTCTTGCTTCCTTAGCGATGAAACTTCCTCGATGTATACCTATAAGATCAGGGCATGTTGAGAGTATTAACAATTCATTAGCAAGAAAACAATAAGCCAATAATACTCCATTACAATCTGCCTAAGATGCTGCAAACGCATTTGAAAGATAGTGTTGGA